GAGGTCTGGTTCACAGATCTGAGTTCAGTTTCTTGCCTACAGATTCTCAGGCAGAAGCTACAACTTTCACTCTCCACAAAGACTTCCTGATGGTGATCGTCTGACTACATTAACTTGTCGAGATGAAACATTTGCCCCACATCCTTTTCCCTCCTGCTGCGGGCTTGTTGGACCCTCCTCCCCCTTTAACTACAAGAACAGCGCCGCAAACACTGGGCACATCCGCCTGAGACGTGACGCCTCAATAAGAAATGCACTTTCATCTCATCCAAGCTCCATTTACTATGAGAGCGGCCTAATTTTAATCAGGTTTAAGGGTTTCTTTTCCCCCTGCGCGAGCATGCTTGCATCGTTGCAGTTTGATAGCTAATCTTTGTGAATGTGTCTTCTCTGCCACGCTGGGTTCCATGTGTTATATAACTGTTTCCTTTCTCCCAGCGGGCTCTATCTGCTTTACAAAGAAATGAGCTGTGAATCACTGCTCCAACTTTGCATCATCACTGCTGTGTCACTGCATTCTTTGCCAGCGGTTTAGGTCCCACCCTGCATGGGTAACTTAATCTTATGCAAATCAGGTTTAGCAGATTCGTATGCACCCTTTCAATTTAACAGTATATCAGCTTTTTTTTTTGGCACCTTCATGTGCTTCACACACTGAATGAATGTTTTCCAGGTCTCGCTCTTCACCTCAGATTTTCTGGCTAATTAGTGTGAACATCTTCAACAATTTACATGGGAACTAAATTTATACATGCCACAAAATCTAATCCTGAGGAATACCTACATGTAGCCTACTGTAGAAATGAAATTTTCCCTTTCGTGATAATATGCTAATATTATTTTACTCACTTAAGAACAGTTAAATAGCATTTTGAGAGCTTCCTGCATGTATGAAATGTGTGGCCACTAAAGGGGCAGCGCAACAAGCTGTAAGCAGACCACTGATATCACCTTGTAAAGCTGTTGGGAAGAATGTTGTAAAAGAGCAACACAAGCATTCGCTTAGAGTTGTGTTTCTGACCACCTGACGAACATGAGTCCAATATTCACTCTCTATTTAGCTCTGCTCTGGTCTGCCCCGACTCCTGAGGGAAATCTGGCTCTTTAGCTTTCACAAGCTAGTCGCTAACTTGTTTGTTGTTTTTTGGTGCACACAGTGGGTTTATTAGTGTTTTTGCTGGAATAGCTGCCTGCTGTAGCTGCGAACAAGGCAGATAACACTGAGACTGAACCAAAACAGTAAAGCTGTCAGCCGTAAAATCATGATGCCGAAAGATGCTAAAGCGCTCCGTAGGCTGAGTGGAACTGCAGAGGTGGTTAAGAATTCCCGGTGGGATTGTCACTACAGGTGACAGCTTTCCAGGTACAATTAATATGGATTTTTTTTAATTAAAACACAATGTTAATGTGAAACAAATAATCAGATTGGCAAAACAGGTTGTGAATAGATCCTTTCTCTCTTCCTTTGTCTCCTTCAGGCATTCTTCCCCCTCACCTCCTCTGGCCTGACTGACCCACCAGCCCATCACCATGAACTACCTCCGCCGGCGCCTGTCAGACAGCAGCTTTGTGGCCAACCTCCCCAACGGCTACATGATGGATCTGCAGAGGCCGACCCCTCCAGGTTCATCCACTTCCTCTCCTGCCTCCCCGGCCACAGAGAGGCGGCAGCCCCCGAGCATCCCGAGTCAGACCCAGGCCTCGGGCCCAACCTCGGGCCCAACCTCGGGCTCAGCCTCAGGCTCGACTTCGGGCCCGGGGAGCTTCCTCAGCTCCTTCTCCAGCGTGGTGAAGAGTGCTCAGATGGCCCAGAACGTCGCTGCTGCTGCACACGCCAAATCAGCAGCTGCTGAAGGAGCCCCAACAGGAAACAGTCAGCCACCCAAACCTGTCATACGCAAGCCCAAGATCCTGCTGGTCATCGACGATCAACACACAGACTGGTGAGTGGAAGTTTCATGGTAGCGTGTGTGGCCAGGTAGTTGAACAAAAAGTGTGTATTTTCACATTTTATTGTTTACTTTCTGAATTCTGCTGCTCATGTCTAGAAATCAAGTTTTACTTCTGTGCGTTACAGTGACTCTAATTTGTCTCAGTGTCTGGTTCGACAGATAATGAACTGAACTGTGAGTTATTTGTTTTCGAGTGTTCCACTTCATTTAAAGTTTAGCTCCCTTGACAAATCCGCAATGGATCAGAAAAACCAGTGAGCATCTTAGCTCATTTTCTATCTGTACTACTGACTGGAGGTAACATCGCTACAGTTCTGCTACATAAAGCAGAGTAGTATCTCGAAAATAAAAGACTGACATTTTTTTTTCAAAAGGTAAGTATGTAAAAACTGGGTTGGTGGCTTGAAGATAGTTAACTGTTTTGTAAACCAATGGTTGGGGTCCCCACTAGGGTTCGCCAAAGCTTTACAGGGGGTTGTGACGGCTTCTTAATTTTAAGGGATGAACAAAAACTTAAAAAAGACCTATATCTCAGCATTTTGTTCATTTATGTGAAGAACACAAAATGAAACTGCTGTTTTTAGAGAAAAAAATCTAAACAGATATGAAATCTATATTCAAAGAGCATTCACCTTCTTCTATACAGCCACATACAGTATATGCCACTTAGTCAGGGGTTGTCGGTTTACTAAATGACAGAAAAGGGGTCCTTTAAGGAAAAGAACTGAGAACCACTGGAGTTCCAGATTTCCAGATCCTGTCAGGAAAGAGTGAAAGTTTCAGCAAAAAAATTGTTTATTCTAAAAGTCACCTTTGGCAGCTTTAGCATGCTGCTTTGGGGGCAACTTATCAGTGTCAATACGCTAATAAGCCATTAACAAGCCTTCAAAAGTTGAAGAAACATTGTACTCTGCTTACCTTTTGATTTTTAGCTCCTGCTAAATCAAAAACATTCATTCTTCCGATAAATGCGTATGTCCTTGTCTTATGCAGCCTTATACCATGGCTGTCTGTGCTGGAATAAAAATTGTCATGGTAACAAGAGGAAGGTCTTTTGCTCTTCAGATGACAGAAAAATAAATGAACTTTAATGAGTTCTAGATGGGTTCATCTTTCAGTGCCAGCACATACATGCATGTTAGTGGCCGGTATCGGCTGTTGTGTGCTGCACGTTGTGGAAGAATTGATTTCCGGTGCTGCAGTCAAGACCTGTAGCAGCCAGTTTATCATGTTTGTCTTACTGAATCAATAAAACCACTCTTCCATTTCATGAATTGTTATTCTGCTGCCTGAAATTTGCTGGTAAATCGACCTCAGTGAAGCTGTTATTAGCTATTTCCAACCCTTTGAATTTATCTACACAATTACGGGGGGATCATTTTGTACCAAAGGATATCGGGCTGAGGTCTAAAAATGATCACTAAATTAAAGCGCTCCGCTGACAGCCGTGTCAAAAGCACCGAGATTGCTCTCAATATTCTGAAAAGGCGGACGGCCTCTTGTCTTTAATCCAGCTGGCTAAAATCCCAAAAGGGCCTGTTCCTTTTTTACATCTTGGTGTTTCTGAAATGAGTCGTCAGAGGATCATCCACCCACTGAGGCTCGCTCCGACTCTGAGGGACCATCCTCACTCTTGAGAGAGCAGCAGGGGTTTTATTCACCTAAACAAGCTCAGTTACTTCTATGAAAAGAGAATAAAGGTGGCTTTGAAAAGCGCTTGGTTGCTTTTTCAGTACAAAAAAGAAAGTCATTTTTGTGAAGGACTCTGATTTTGTACAGGGTTGACACGGTAAGAGCAACACCTGTTTAATATAATGCAATCCACTGCAACAGCCTTGCAATAAATCTACCTCTGAAGTTTTTAATGTTCAGTTTATGTTGAGACTGTGACTACAATATGTTTATTAGAATAGAAATCTTTATTTACAAGGCCATAGTTTGTGGTAATGTATTGGATCACATTATATTGTAATACCAAATTGTCATGTAGATTTTAGTTTAGCTTTAGCTTAGATTTTAGTGTTTATTCTGAATATAATGTAATATACAGTTTATGTTTCACATTCATTTATTTTATGGGCCCCTCCGATTGTCTGTGGAAATGAGGGGTGTCTGGCACTCCAGCAGTTTCTGTCTCAAATGGAAAAGGCCACTGACTATGAATCCTTCAAAAAGCTTTTTTTAAAATATTTTAAAAATATTAATATTTTTAATATTTAATATTTTTAATAAAAATATATCTTGTCATTAAAACATTTTTTTAGATTATATTAAATTGATTTTGTTTGATTTATAACTCAGCCTATTCCTTTTCTGGCCACCAAGTGGCATTGTAGTTCAACTTGAGTTTTACAGAGAAATCGTCCTCAGTGCTGCTCACGCTTTGATGTTTCTGTGACGAAGTGATGGGCTTTGGCCAGCAGAGGGTGATGTGTGATAGCTTCTGAGGTTTATATCAAACACTTCTTCTTACTGCTGTTACAGATGTTCTGTAATCAACAGCAGCTCCTCTCAGTCAAAGCCTTAGACACACAGACTGGAATACTTCACACTGAAATGATTCTTATGTACATGCATGTTAGGCTGCAGTTAGACACAAGTATTGATCATGAAGTTGACAGGGCAGGGTGTCCCACCTCCAACCAGAGAAAGCTGCACTTGGCAGTCTTTTTTCTTTCTCATCGTTTTGGTTTCATTTACCCCTCACCAACCTGGGCTGTGTGACTTCTGGGACGTCATCCTACAGGTTTTCTGGAGTTGAACTCCACTTGACACTAAGCAAACAGTAGCTTGAAATAATTAGCATTGACATTGACACCGATATCCAATTAAGGGTTTCCCTTTGCTTTTCTGTACTTAACACCAGAATAGAATAAAGGGAAAGAGACAGGTGTGTGCCAGTTTTCTAAAAATTGGAAGATAGTTCATGTAGATTGGCTCGCTCACCAACACTATCAACTGTTTCAGCAGCAGCAGTGTGTCTGACATACAGCTCGTGGAGGCAGTTAAGGTACTTAAACCCAATTGTAGCAATTTGCGTCAAACATTTCACTAAATAACTAAATCTAAACACACAGACATGATACACATTTTTTAGATTCAGTGTGACTTATTTTCAGGGAACATCATTACCACTGATTGACATCTGTACATCTTAGAAATAATAGAAACTGCAAAACTTGCCTGAGAAACATCATGTTTTTCAGTTTTCTTCATTATCAAAGTATTCCAGTAATAGTAATTGGTACATGAGGGTACATTGCAAACAGGAACTGTAAAAAGCTCATGCAAACAAATATACGGTACAGTTTTCTCAATTTTGTCTCCTTGAATCACCAAGTGTCAGTCTGTCCTAAAACTTTGCTCATCTTAGTAAGCTGCCCGAAATGAGAAACAGCTAACTGTGATAGGCTGAGACCCTAGTCAAATAAGCGAAACACTCTCTAAAACATACATCACCACCAAGGCACACATTAGAAGAAGTTATATTATTGATAACCCTATTCACCATTGAACGTTTTATTGAACTTGTGAAGTTAGAAAATCTGGGATGTTTCTCAGTCACTTCAGTACAGTTTTCTTGAAACCGGTACCTAGTGGCCAAGGCATCATAGGTTATTTCATATTGCCTTATGGTCTTCACTGCCACAAAGAGAGTGATGACTCTTGAGTTTGTTTGGAATAATCAGAAGAACACTTACATGTCTCTTTTCAGCAATATATAAGAAGCCTCTTAGTGTGCAGCAGATGATGTGAGAGTGTCTGTGATGCTGCCTATGTTAAATATAAGATCGCAACAGCACTCTTAATGTCTGCCTCAAGGTCATTTCAAATAGGGACTGAGACCTTTCTTCGACTGTTACTCAGGGGCCACTTCAAAGGTGCAGGTAGAGCATGAAGCAGCCGTTTAACAGTTGAAGCTCGACCCCTGGAGACAAGTACAACTCATAAAACAAAGACCAAATATTTGGCTGCTGCTTTGGCAACGTGTCTGTGTCATGGTGTTGGCTTTTTCAGTCACAGTGTTTGCTTTTAGGACAATGTGAAACCTGCTTTTAGGCAACTGAGTCCTGACGTTGATTCATGGAACATTAGGAAATAAGCATACTGCTTTTGAAATCTCTGTGCTGTCAAGATAAAAGTTTGAACCACACCGGCCAGATTTCTAATTTACTTCACGGCCCCGTAGTGATTCCAGATGTAATCTTGTTTTCATTTTTAAAGCCACCATGTGGTGTCCCTCGAATCTTCACTCTATAAACAGATGTGCTGTGTTTTTCATGCATTTCCATAAATCAACATTGATCTTATCCCATCCGTGGTCACCGGTTCATCTGGGGCCACAGCAGCCAACAAAACTGTTTTATCTGGAGGATAATGTGTGATAGACAGTTAAAGCCACAGCATAGCTTTACTTTAGTGCGTTGGCAAATGGTCCACCAGATAAGTAATCACAATAAACTGTAACCATCCACCACCACCTATTGTTTCTATGCATCCAAGGCAACCACATAGCTGGTGTGTTGCAAATGTGCAGACTTCTCCTCAGACATTATCAGAGAAAATATAAAAGAAAACAAAAAAAAATCCAAATTAGTCCAGTCCTATGGCAGTAAATGTGCTAACAAACCTCTTCTGGTGTGCTTTAAATCATTTATTTTAACCTGCATTGATTGAGTTTTTGGGCCAGCTGTGGGCAATAAAACAAGCTGTAAACAAAGCACTGATGTTTAGAATTATCACCTTTATTAAGTTGTTACAGCAATTGTGTCGTCAATTCATTGCTTATTTACACATCCAACAGACACAGCGCCACATTGGCATTTGTTTACATCGTGTTTCTGGATTCCTGATGAATGTATGTAAGACTGTGCACTATTTACTCTCCTTTTGGGTTGTTTTGGCCTCCAGCAACTATATAAGGAAATAGTTGGCTCTTTAGCTGCTAAATGCTCCACTATGCTCACCAGCTAATCGCTAACTAGGTTGCA